CAGGTGGTTATCGAGTGGCTCGCTGTTCCTCGCCCATTTTTACAATCACCTCCACTAGATCCAGGCCACAGATGGAAGATAGACATTTTGATCTTATCAATTCCTCATGTTTAAAGTAATTGTTATTAGCTGCCTGTCTTTAGTAGTATGTGATCTTCTCCGTAGCAAGAACCGTATGCTCAGGCTTTCTCCTCCTTTCCCAAATTTCAAACCTATCCTTTCAAAATATTGAACGCATTCATCATCCCTCTGCATTTGGTCTGACACAGTGGCCTCCCTGGCTCTGTTCTCTGCAGGGTGGCACAGAAAGAGGCTCAGTCACAGTCAGAGCACACTCCTGAAGGTCTTAACTGGGGGCCAGGGAGGCATGGTGGTGGTGGTTTCTTAATTTGAACCTGGGATGGGAGAGGACAAAATCAGTTAGAAGGTCTTTGAGAGTGTATAGTACGTATCTAATGGGAACGCAAAGCTAAAATGGTCAGTAAAATCTCTGCCTCCAGTTTCCACTATGGAAGTTGTGAGGCTACCTTGTTTCTGCATGGATAATAGAGAACTTTAAACATTAATAACATTTTGAAGTGATTATACTCGGCTTACTTGTGAAGATGGACATCATGTTTAATTTTCATGTTTGTTTTTCTTTTTTGTGCTCCTTCTGCCTGTAGGAAAGATATATAGGAAATACAACTAAATGTGAATTTACTCTGTTTCCCTGTTGTCTTTTTTTTTTTTTAACCACTTTTTGGGGGTAGGTAGGGGACATAAAATATACTAAGGTGAACCAGAATTGTCTCTAGTGATAGGAATTTTAAACATTCTGTTATGGAATCTGTTATTAGCATTTGCTTTTAAAGGGTAAGCATGTACTTCAGGATTACATGTGTAGTTATATAGTGTATAAATGTCTTTTCTTAAAGAATTTAAATTGGATATATCAAGAAAAATTTGTATTCTTAATAATGTATGACTTCCTAGACCTATATCTTCCTCAGTCTTAGAGGATTTTAACCATTTACATATATGTATGTTTTATTTCAACATATTATGGGAGTACAAATGTTTAGGTTACATATATTGCCTTCGCCCCACCCGAGTCAGAGCTTCAAGCATGTCCATCTCCCAGACGGTGTGCACCGCACCCATTAGGTGTGAATATACCCATCTCCTCCTCCCCCCTCCCATCTGCCTGATAGCTGATGAATGTTACTACTATATGTGCACATTGGTGTTGACCAGTTAATACCAATTTGATGGTGAGTACCTGTGGTGCTTGTTTTTCCATTCTTGTGATATTTCACTTAGTAGAATGGGCTCCAGCTCTATCCAGGATAATACAAGAGGTGCTAGATCACCATTGTTTTTCGTGGCTGAGTAGAACTCCATGGTATACATATGCCACATTTTATTAATCCACTCATGTATCGATGGGCACTTGGGTTGTCAAACAACCCTATCAAAAAGTGGGCAAAGGACATGAACAGAAAGTTTTCAAAAGAAGATAGATTAATGGCCAAGAAACATATGAAAAAATGCTCAACATCTCTAATCATCAGGGAAATGCAAATCAAAACCACAATGAGATACCACTTAACTACAGTGAGAATGGCCTTTATCAAAAAGTCCCAAAACAATAAATGTTGGCATGGATGCAAAGCGATAGGAACACTCATACACAGCTGGTGGGACTGCAAACTCACACAACCTCTGTGGAAAGTAGTACGGAGATACTTCAAGAACTAAAAGTAGAACTACCATTTGATCCAGCAATCCCAATATTGGGCATCTACCGAAAGGAAAAAAAGACATTCTCTAAAAAAGACGTCTGCACTAGAATGTTTATAGCAGCACAATTCACAATTGCAAAGATGTGGAAACAACCCATTTAGATTTTATATTAAAATTTATCCAGCAGTTTTTTTAAAAAATATTCTTTCCTTTAAAATAAAGACTCTAACCACTATGAATTTTTTTTAGAAGGCTTAATCTTAAAGCAAATTTTCCTCATTTTGTGACATGAATTACTGCTCAAAAGTCATTGTTAAATTATTTTGGGTTGACTGAAAAGCAGAGACTGCCTCTAATAATCTAATCTGTGACTAATATTTTATTTTCAGTGAAAAACTTAGGAGGTTTTGATTTCCCAATTTACAAAATAAATTATAATAGCTCCTGGACAATCATTTGAAGAACTTCCTGTAACAAATCTTTTGACTTCCATGAATCTTGGTATTTTGGTGCCATCTTGTGGCTTAGCTTTGTAATAACTATAACACTCAAATCCATTTTAAACAATGTCCGGGTAGGATAAGTTAAGTGGGGAATTCTTTCCAAAATGCAGATCGTATGCTACTATTTTTCTACATAAAAATATTGAGAATTACTTGTTTGTTATTTGGCACATGGCGAGGCAAAAATAGTAAGTAAGGCATCTAATATATAATTTTCAGTTTCTAAAATTCTTTATGCAATTTGTCCCTAGTTGCTGCTGTTTGAACGGTCTTGGATGAACAGATGGAAGTCTTGTGTTCTGCACGAAGGGGAAGGGAACATAAGGAGCGTGAAGTGGAGAGGCCATCTGATTGCTTGGGCCAATAACATGGTAAAAGCACATCTCCGTCTTCCAAATGCTTATTTGGTGTTGGGAGAGTAGCCGAATTGATAGGACTGTAACAAAGGGAAAAGATGCCGCTCACTTTGGTGATTATTTCTAAAAGATACAAATGGCAATTGGTATTATACCTGGGAGGTTAAAGAAATTAGATTGCTTTTGGCTTTCATAATATAGTAATTCCCAACATATTCTAGACTCTTATTTTAGAGTAAGAAACCTGAGGCATGGAGAGTAGCCAAGAAAATGAAAAGCCATCTTAATAATTGAAGGGCTGCATTGGGAATGTGGTCTTGAAAATACCATTTGCCTATTGGCCAAGGGCAAGTAACAGTTGATATGAAACAAGTGCAGAATATTGCTGATTTCTTTTTTACTCCCAGTATAATCATAGGCAAAAATCTAGGCCTGCCTTTAAGAAAGTGGATTGTAATTTTTAGTGCTGCACTTGTTTAAAGTTTACTCAATATGAGTTGGGGCTAGTGGAAAGTTTTTTAAATGGCCTTTTTGACATCCGGCATATCTTTTGGAATTAAAAGGTGTAATTTAGTAAATCAGTTCTATTCAGTTTTAAATGGTAGAAATCTCCCCAGAAACTACCTTACCATTCTGGACTTTTCTCACTTCTTCTGGACCACAATAAAGATAAGCAAACCTGTGGTCTCTTGGTTCATGTTTAGTTAGCTGTTTGCTTGATGTTTCCATTTGAGAACTTTAAAATGTTAGGTGTAGTTTTCTTTATTTAAGTGGTTTTTCAGATTCAACACCTTTCTACAAAACAAACCTCATTTTTGTGGTGGAATATAATTAGAAATGTTACTTGTCATTTTGGAAATGCACTTGATATCTGTACATTTCATGCTTGTGTTGGATTTGAGTCACCCTTGCCATGTAATAAAATCTCCTCTCTCCAGAAAGAAGGGTGGAGGTTTTCTTGTGGTTTTGGTTCTCACAGGGAGCAGGAGCGCGTTCCTTTGTGTGGCTCCTGGTCTTCTAGCCATGTCAGTAAACACTGTCAGTATTTTCCATTGCTGGTTTTTGATGGTATATAGTAGGAGCTGTTAATAAATATTCCTTCTCCCAAGTAGAGGATGCTTAGTGCTATTTTATTTTCTAGGGTGTGAAGATTTTTGACATCACCTCAAAGCAGAGAATCACCAATGTGCCCCGGGATGATGTAAGTCTTCGCCCAGATATGTATCCTTGCAGCCTCTGCTGGAAGGACAACGTGACACTGATTATTGGCTGGGGAGCTTCTGTCAAGGTATTTTTGTTTGTCTTTATGAAAAGTTCATGTTAGGCCGGGCGCGGTGGCTCATGCCTATAATCCTAGCACTCTGGGAGGCCGAGGCGGGCGGATTGTTTGAGCTCAGGAGTTCGAGACCAGCCTGAGCAAGAGCGAGACCCCATCTCTACTAAAAATAGAAAGAAATTAATCGGACAACTAAAAATATATAGAAAAAATTAGCTGGGCATGGTGGCACATGCCTGTAGTCCCAGCTACTCGGGAGGCTGAGGCAGAAGGATTGCTTGAGCCCAGGAGTTTGAGGTTGCTGTGAGCTAGGCTGACGCCACGGCACTCTCTCTAGCCCGGGCAAAAGAGTGAGACTTTGTCTCAAAAAAAAAAAAAAAAAAAGTTCATGTTGTTGTAGATCCACTGAGTGTGGTCCCAAGAAATATGGCTTCTTGAATGGCTTTTATGACCCACATACTTTCACCTGAATATCACTGTGATGTGAGTACCATTTAATTTTCACATCATTTCATGTGCATAAGTTTTAAGATATGCTCTGTCTTTTCTATGCTATGCAAAATAATTTGTGAACTTTTCCATGTTCAGAATGGTGCAGGCTTCTTCAATCTTTTTTTAATGACCACAGCCCAGCTGGCGTTAGCTGTCTATGGATTGTGTGGTTGGTTTCGTTGGTTAGGCAGGTTCTCCCCTCTTATTATTCTCTCCGTTTCCCTTAGCTTTTACCCTGAGCTTCTTCATTAGAGTTATTGATGGTGGGGAGAGAAGGTTAAAACTAAATCATCCTGCTGCTTGATAATAATTTGATGGAGTAGAGGCCCAGACTTATTATCAATAATAAGATTTGGGAATATTTTCTGGCATATGATTATCTGACCCTATGTGCCCAGGTCAATGAAATTTAGCTGTTCTACAAAAGAGGGCTCAAAGCTCATTCACATTTATTTCATGCCCACCAGTGCTTCTGCTACTTGATACTTCAGAGCCAAAAGTTGTTTGTTTCCCTTTAAAAATATATATAGCCTAATTCAGACATGGCTTAAATAAACAAAAAATTAGCTGAGCTAAAAATGGTATGAGAAAGTATCCCAGCAATAGTCCAGTGGAAGAGCTCAGGCTTTGAGGGCAGAGAGACCTGGGATCAGTTCCAGCTTCTCCATTTACTTCCTTTGTGAGCCCCTCTGAGCCTTACTGATGATTCGTATAGTCTAAGTGCTGGGGAGGGAAGGAAAATGAGGTAATGCTTGTGAAGAGTTTAGCATAGAATCTGACATATGGTCATTGCTTAATAAATGTTAGCTGTCATTGTTATACCATAAAGATCTAGAAAAGTCAGGGAAGAGATGTGACTATATAAAATTTACTCTTCGCTGGAAAGGGAAAGCATAACTATTATTAATGCAATGATTGTTATTTCCAAAACAAGCATCGTTACACCTGAGATAAGGTCTTCCTGGCCCTTATGTTGATATAATTCAGGTTCTCTTTTCTTCATGTGTCAAATGAACACAACCTGATTCATATTTAGAATAACAGGAAGGAAACTGTGCCTAATAGGCTAAGATAGAAAAAGAGATTCTCCAATCTCTCTATCCCATGTGTGTGGTTAACTCATCCAATAACTTATATTCTTGATATTTTTAAAATTCCTGAATGGACTGGGTAGCTTTTTCCTTTGTTGTAAACTTTTCGTTTACTTTTCTTATGGTGAAAGACAAGGACAAGGAAAATGAGCCTGTAGATAATAACATAACAAGTTCACTAATTATTAATTACCAAAAGTGCTTTCTCTGGTATGCTGAATAAGGCCCCGAAGATAGCAGTCTCTAATTCCCAGAACCTGTAAATGTTTCTTTACATGGCAAAGAGGGCAAATATTACTTTATATGGCACAAGATGCGATTAAGTTAAGAGTCTTGAGATGGGGAGGTTATCCTGCAGTGTCGGAGTGAGCCCTGGGTACAAGCACGCACATCCCGGTGGGAGGGAGGTGCAGAGGGGGAGGAGGTGGCACCACTACGATGGCAGCGTTGGACTGATGTGGCCAAGGGATGCCTGCAGCCACCGAGGCTGGAAGAGCCAAAGAAGAGGTTCTCCCTAGACCTTCCAGAGGAAGCGCAGCCCTGCTGACACCCTGATTGTGGCCCAGTGAAACTGATTTCATACTCCTAACCTACAGAACTATGAGAGAATACATTTCTATCGTTTTAAACTACCAAGTTGTGATAATCTGTTATAGCAGCCATGGGAAACAAATACACTTTTACAGTGCCCAAATTAAGATCCAATTTATATAAAATTTTCATGTCAAACGTTTCATTTTGTTGGGGATTCTTTTTTTCAGACTCACGTGGGGAGCACTTCTCAGTTCAGAATTTTAGTGAGTTATATCGAGGGAAGAGAAGATAAGGAAATGGTCTTTCTGAAGAGAGAGAGAGCAATGTTGTTGGGGAGAAACAACTAGAAACAGTGTAATAAAGTGTACGATTAGAGCTAATCATTTAATTCATTCATTCATTTGCGCAACAAACATTTACCAAGTGCCTGCAATGTGGCAGGCAGTGTTCTAGTGTTGCAGAGACATAAATAGACAAATGAGTGAATTCCTTCCCTTGGGAAATTTATGTTCTAGTGAGGGAAGATGGACAAAAACAAACAAGCAAGTAAGTAAGTATACCATGTGGATGGTAAATACCAAGGAGAGCATTTAAATAGGATAATGGGGAAAGGGATTGGGGGTAGGTACGATTTAATGTAGGGGGGTCCAGGGATGGCCTCTCCTGTAACTCATGGATCATTTGGGCAGATGTCTGGCGGGAGCAAGCCGTGCAGCCCTGTAGGGAGTTAGGGAGGGGAGGTGGTAGCAGAGGGAGCAGCAGCGCAGCATCCTTGAGGCAGGAGTCTGACTGGTGTGTTTTTGAGCAACAGCAAGGAAGCCATTATCATCAGAGTGAGGGGCAGATGTAGAGAAGGCAGGGATGTGTGTTGGATGGAGGCGCAGGTGCAGGTCACGCTGGGGCTCCTGGGCCTTTGAAGTCTTTGGCTTTTAATTGGAGTGAGATGGGAAGCCAGCAGAGGGCTTTGAGCAGTGGAGTCAGTTAAGTGATCTAACTTGTGTTCTGGAAGGATCTCTGGTGGCTGTGTGGTGCTAAACAGCAAAGGGGCAGTAAAAAGGGGAGACCGTTTAGGAGCCTACTCTAGTCACCTCGGTAAAAAATAAGGTGTCTTGGGCCAGCGTGATGGAGCTGGTGAGAAATGACTGGATCCTCGATGTATTTTGAGAGTAGACCCTGTAGTATTTGATGGTTGGGCGTGGGTGTGAGATAACCCATCACCTAAGGAACCGGAAGATGAAGCTGCCTTTTACTGAATGGGAAAGACCGTGATGGAGCATGTTTAAGCTGAAAAAGGGAGAAATTGTTTTTGGATGTGTCCACTTGAGATGCCTAGTATCCACCCAAGTGGAGAAGTGGAGGGGATTTGGAGGAAGCAGATTAGTGTCTTTGGTGAGAATCAGTGTAAAGGCTCTTCTAGTCATTGATCTGCTCTTGAGCACTACATGCACTTAGGGGGGCACTTACCTATACCCACCTGTACCTGCTGCTTCCTGCTTATGAGACAGGTGCTATGTTAAGAGCTCAGACCACACAACTGAGGAGGAGTAGAGTAAAGCCACTGCCCAGCTGCCAGTAGTGCCATGTGTCCTTGTCTTTAGAGAGATTGTGGCATGGCCAGCGAGGCAAGCAGGCCTCGGTGCAAGTTCCAATTCCGGTCAAGTGGTCTTGGGTAACTCTCCTGGTTTCAGTGTCCTCATCTGTGATTAGACATGATAACATTGCCTTTCGGGGTCATCCGAGGATTGGAAAAGGCCCAGTCAGTCTTCAAGTTCTGTCAGCATCTCTCGAATCTCTCCACTTCTTTCCATCTTCCCACAAATCTTTCTGGCCCTGGTTTTGCCCCACTCTTAATTCTGTCCTAAATGGTGCAGCTAGAATGATCTTTCTAGAGTGCAAATCAGGTGATTTTAGTTCCTCTTTAAACCCCTCAGGGGATTCTCGTTGCCCATAGGATGACTGATCTTAAACATGATTTCAAGGTTCTGCGTGATCTGACCTGTGTTCCTCCCCAGCCTCAACTCTGTCCCCCTCTCCCCCTCCCCACTGTGCTCTCTATTTCTGTCCGATTAACCTTCCAGTCGAAAGCCTTAGGCTGTCACATTGCCCTGTGCACCTGTCCTATCTCTCCTGCTTTCAGCTTATATGCCACTTCTTCCAGGAAGCCTTCCTGCCCTGCCAGTAGATGCCCCTGTTCTATATTTCCTGATCATACTGTAGTAAAGTACCTTATTTTTTCTCCCCACCGCCCCTGCACCATAATCTTAAGAAAATAACTGTGGATCTGTTTTACAAAGCCCTTCACTCAGGACTGGTACCAGTAGCAGCCCCCAAAGTGCTAATATTGCTATTTTTTTTTTTATTAAACTTTAAACTGTTGGAAACACTACTCCTCAGGTGCTTACATCAGTACATTGAAACAGTTGTCCATTCCACATGTGGAGTGTTCCTCCTGTTAGACAGTTTAACAGTTTCCTTAGTAACTGTGGAAAGGAGAGTGGATAACTTATAAGCACAAAAATTTACCAAATGGAGAAGGAAATTGGAGAAAATTGAGGAAGTGGAAGGTAAAATTTATGACATGGACAGGAGACAAATGACAAAAAGCATTCAAGGGAGAAGATAGCCGGTCACTTCTCAGCCATAGGTTGAAGTCCTGCGTCAGGGAAAGTGAGTACTGCCGTGCATTCACTAGTTGCTGCAGTGTTGCTGGACAGCAGTTTACACGTGTACATTAAACAAACAAAGCAGAACCTTATAAAAGTATACATGCCCGTTGATACAAACTTACAGGAATTTATCTTAAGGAAACAAAAGTCCAAAAGTTTTATATACAAGTATGTTGATTGCACTATTGCTTTCAATAGAGATAAATAGAAACAAAAAACTAATGTCCAAAAGGAGTATTGATTAAATAAACTTTAGTACATTCATGTAATAAAGTACAGTTGTCCCTCAGTATCTGTGGGGGATTGGTGCCAGCACCCTCTGTGGATACCAAAATCCATGGATGCTCAAGTCCCTGATATAAAATGGCGTAGTAGTTGCACATAACCTGTACACATTCTCCTGCGTACTTTAAATCATCTCTGTGTTACTTATAATACCTCATACAGTAGCTACACATCACTTCATTTGTGTGGATTCAGTGTAGTACTCGGTGCATGGCAAATCAAGTTTTGCGTTTTGAAACTTTGTGGAATTTTTTTTTTCCTTAATACCTTTGATTCT